GCGATTATTCGCCGAGGAATCTGTATTATTCATCGAATGAAAGAGAAACATAGACATCCGAATTTTTTTCTTCGTAAACGAAATGCATCAAAGAGCGAAGCATCTACTTTATAATAGTGATAACTACTATCTTATGATAATTTAGTTTCATTCATATATTGACCCATTTTTTAACCTTGGATCAAGGTAAATCAATCTAATAGAAAATGATAGTTGCATAGTTCTATTGTCTTTAATAATATTTTAATTCATGCAAGAAAAAAATATTCTATTCGTTGTTAATCCGAAATTTTTTTTTTTTATTGTTTATTTAATTTGAAAAAAAAAAACAACAATCTTTTGTTTTATTTATTTCATGATTAAAAATGAATATGAAAGTATCAAGTTAATTATTCATATGAAAAAGTGCATATTGAATAAATTTTTCCCATGATGAATAATTCAATTCTAATTGTTCACAATAAATTCCATAACATGAACGTTTTTGCTCGTAAAAATGAATCGCTTTATCAACATTTTCTAATAAAACTTTTGGTAAATGGCGATGAAGAATTGACTAAAAATTAAAAAAAAAAAAAACTTAAAAAAAAAAAGAACAAAAATTTCACAATTTTTTACTTGAATTTGTTCAGTATTAAATGGAACTAAAAATATATTTCTTTCTGACACAGGTACTTGTAATAATAATTCAAGAAGAATAATACCCGTAGCAATTAAATGAAATATATCATATTGTATATTTAATGCTGAAAAAAAATTATTTGTTAGTTTGTTGTTGTTTTTTTTACCTCCGAAAAAAAAAATAATTTTATCTTACCAAAAGAACTAAAACCTTGTTTATTTAAATATGTTTTAAGTTCGTCGAAATCTTTCATATTAATAGATAATAAATTCGCTAAATCTTGATTTAAATCAAATGATCCATTCGTTAATTGAATTCTTTTTAATTCATTCATCATCATCGAAGTTAAATCAAGTTGTTTCATTTTATTAAATGTTGAAAAACCTTGAAAAATTTCTGTTTCACCAGTAAAATTAATCTTTTCATTTGTAGTTTCACCTTTTAGCTAAAAATATTTTTATTTTTTAAAAGACATATCATGAGACTATCGAGTATACGAGACACTGAATAAAAAAAAAAAGAATATTTTCTTTTTTTTTGTGCATTCAATTCGTCGATGTTTGAAATCACTAGTCTCAAATTTTTAACTTCCAATACCCTTTCTTTATAAAAAGTTAGTCAATATCGACTTTTTACCACTATAATATCCTTATAGAAAAAAAAACAAAGCAGAAAATGCCTTGTAAAAGTCGTGCTAGTTTCGACGAATCATTCGAGTTTTTTTAAATAAGTTATACTAAAAGCTAGACATTAAAAACTGAGCGAAGTTGCTTATTTCAATATAATATAATATCGATCAAGTCAAGTTTTACAAGGTCAACATAAATGAAAAATCGTTCTTTCGAATGAGTATGAAATGTCCTCTTGATAACGATCTATCTTCTATTGGGATCAGTAATCTCAACCGAATCAAGCTATTTGATAATTCGATTCAACAGTAACTTCTTTATTAATCTTAAAACGCGGGCAACAAAATTCACTTCAATATAGGGTTCATGCGCTCTCTGGCTTGTACTTGTGCAAACTGTATCCATCATTTAGTCTGAAAAGTCCACTATGATCTATTCCAAAATATTATGTATGTGAATTCGATTGTGTCCCGAACGTACCATTTATTTTTAAATATTAATTTACTGTTTTGTAGAGAATAAAAATTTGTATGACATTAATAAAATTTAGCTTGAAATTCTTTGATTCTGAATCTCGACAAGAGATAGATTATGATAAAGTGGATATTTGAGACTCATCAATTAAACTATCTTTCGTTCATGTTGACTTTATAAAATTTGACTCAATCAAAACTGTATGATTATATTAAATAGATCATTTTGTTCAGTTTTCCTTTTTCTATGTTATAGTATAATTTAGAAAATTTTGAATGATTCGTTGAAACTGATACAGCTTTTGAAGAACGTTTTATGTTACTTTTTTTCTACAACGATATGATGATGGTAAAAACTCGATATTGAGTAGTTTTCCAAGGAAAGACTATTGAAAACTAAAATTCTAGAGTTGATATTTTCAGAAATCGACATATAGAATATTTCGTACAACTTGATTATCTCTTAATTTCTTTCTTAATAACTTTACCAACCATATATAATGAATCATTTGGTTGTCGATCATGAACACATACAGCATGAAAATCTGGGTTACTTTCTACATATGAAAGATGTCGTTCAATATCATTTTTATTACTTGAATCTATATAATAAATCGAAACTAGCTAGAAAATTTTCATTTTAATTAAGAAATATCCTTACAGTTTTGTGAATCAATTGCAAATTTAACTTTAGCACCTGATCGTGATTCTTCAGCTTCAACTTGTAAGAAGCCATTGCAATCCGCATCCATACAAATTGATATTTCTAATGTTTGTGAAGCGAAATTTAGTGACAAACCAGTAAGTGTAAATTCACCAAGAAATGTCTAAAAAAGCAAAAAAAAACATGAATTAAGATAATAATTTTTGATTTCATATACTATTTTAAACTAACATTATATTTTGTAAGTTTATGTTCACCACTGAAAACGCGAATTGTAGCTGTTGTTTGATAAGCATAAGCATTTGTAAATACAGAATAAAATTGTGTTCGAAATGGAATTATTGTATTACGTTCAATAATTACACACATGTGGCCATTAATGTCTTCAATACCCAAACTGAGTGGTGTAACATCAGCTAATAATACAGCTATTTCGTCCGTTTTAGGAGATGACTTGCTTTTTCGTGTCTTCCTAAAATACAGTTAAATTTATGTGTTATTTAGTGCAATATATAGCTATTATTTCAAAGACGTACTTCTTTAAAGCCATCAAATCTATGGCGCTTGATGAATCAGAATACAATTGTTCTGCAGTCGACGTTACCATTGAATCCCTTCTTTGTTCATCGCATCGTATCTATAATAAGCAATAATTTATGCAGATGATCAAAGCGTAATTCTATCTGTACATACATCAGTATACCGTATGCATGACATAGAAGATTCAT